CCAGAATAACATTTCCGACTCAAACAATTTAGTACTGAATTTAGAACTAAAATCCAACCTCACAAAATTGATCAATATTTAATGATTTTATTAAAAAAGTGAACAGTTTACTTTTGCTGCAGTGGAAGTGTGTTTGTTCTTGAGGTTACCATTTCAATGGTCAAATGCATTTATCATAATCTAAATATCATAGGTTTTTTTAAAATATGTAATACTCAATTTGTTAGCCGTCAAAATGCGAATCTATCTGCATTAGGTAAATGGGATATTAGGCCACTGCAACATCGCATTGCCTACACTTTGCCTGGTGCACCTCAAATTCCATCTTCTTACACATGCTCTTAGCGCGTCTTCTTATGATTCAGGAAGAACGGTTTTAAAATAGTTATTTTTGCGCGTCTTGTTTGAAGTAGTACCCGTGGCGTGGCGGGGCGAGGAGGGGCGGCGCAAACGGCGACGACGCGACGTCGGCGACCTGAGGACGCGGGTTGACAAACGTCGGGTGCGGTGTCAGCGCGACAGAGATACTCCCGGGCTGCCCCGGCGGCGCAGTCGGCCGCACCCCTCCGTCACCCCTTCGCCCTCGCCCACGCCCCGTCCGCCGCCCTCGCTCTGCTCCTTTGCCGTACTTGCCACCGTCCTCACCGCTGCCCTTGCCGCCTCCCTCGTCTACGCCCTGGCTCTCCTCCGCCGCCCTCTCCGTCCTTGCCACGCCGTCGCCCTCGCTGCTTCTCCCCACCGCCCACTTTCGCCAACGCCCTCGCCATCGCAGTCGGAACCCTCTCTGACACTCTTGCTGTCTCCATCGTTCCTCTACGCCACCGCCCTCGCCGCCGCCCTCGCCGGTGTCACCTCCGCTAGTCGTGATTTCCTTTGTGCGCGCTTTGTTCCGGAAGATGAGTGGCCCATCCGGTCCAAGCACAATGTTTCTTCTTTTGTTTTCTCAGGACAATCCCCGACGATCCCTCATACTTTCGTAGATTTTTAAAAAAAAATTCACGTGTATACCATTTAACATCTGCAATCTTGTATTTTCTCGGTGACTGCCATTCCTTTCTGGCTGTCTTCGCCCTGGGCGGAAATGAATGCCTCGCGCCGCGCCGGCCTGAAACCTGCTTCCGGCGCCAGCGCTCCAGCGGAGGTGCTCGCCCTGCTGCACGCGCTGCAAGACCCGCCGCCGCCGCCGCCGCCGCCCCCTTCCTCGCTGCTCCTCGCCGCGCTTTCGCGGCCCACGAAGCACAGCCAACGTCTCGCACGAGAGTGCTCACTCGCTGAAAGATTGCCGCTCCTCCCTTTAGTTGTAACAGGAAGTCCTCTCCCGTTGAAACGCTGCGAACTTCATGCTGAAAGAATCCATTATTTCCTCGGTGATGAGACTGCATGGCGCAAGGCAGTCGTGAAACATGAAGAAAGGGCCCGTCTACAAAATGCTGTGCTGCTACTACGGCTTCATATCTGCGCCTTCCAGTATATTCCGTGCAAAGCAAACACATTCTGGAATATTTATGATTGTTTTCACCTGCAAAAGATTACTTTTTTCTAAGTAATAATTCTGTTATATTGCAGATGCGTTTTCGCTAATTGTAATATTTCGTGTTTCCTTAGAATGGAATCACTGGTCATTGCGACCAAATTATCTTCTGACACTTTCTTGTAACCTGACATTTGTTTGTCGTATTTTCGTGTTTTCATTTAGCCCAATATTGTTTTTTTGTTTTTTCATATTTTTCTATTTCATTTTGTTAAGTTTCTGTTTTCAATTTTCTTCACTACTCTCCTTTTAATATATTGTTCATGATGAACGTTTCTTATGTAAAGAACATTTTCACATTGTTTGTGCCCCTTTCTCGCGTGTTCTTCTCTTGCCGTGTGTGGTAAAATCCGCTGCTGGAGTGAGTGTCATAGCGGGTATTTGCGTCAACTAACGCCGATCCTGTGGTCCATGACCAGCCCTCATCCCGGGCCCTTGACCTGCGTGGCGTGGAGGCGTCCGGCTGCGCCGAATCCGTCACGAGCAGCCGCGAGCGCTCCCCTCCCTGGCCGGGCGCGGGGCTGGGCGCAGGGAGGGAGCGCGGGCGGGCAGCGGCGTGCGCACGGGGCTCGAACCCGGGGCGCTGGCGAGAGCCGCTGGCTCTCCTCTGCTCGGCGAGCGCGCGCGTGGCGTGCGGTGCGCGTATCGAGTGCGACGCCGAGGAAAAAAGGCCGCCGTTATATATCGGGACGGGCGCGGCGTCGCCCGCGATTGGTTTGTGGCGTGACCCAATGGCGGGGGGTCGCGTGGGCGAC